ATTACCCTAAACATAGAAGTGAAGGGAAGCTGCACCCCTAAATTCCTGGTAGGACTTAGCCACTGCTTCTTGATATTTAAAGCCAAGGCTCAGATGAGAGCAGTGTCTACTGGACTGAGTTTGAGAGCTGGTCCTGGGTTGAAGACCAGAGATAAGAAGATGGTGAGAACTCACATAGATATTGGCAATACTAAACCATCAAGCCTGGGAGGGAACTGTTAGGTTTTGATACCAACCTTGAAACAGATCACAACTTGTTCTTTCGGCTATCATTAATGGCCCTAGATTTACTTTTTCCCTAAAAACTCAGGGATGGTGTCTCAACTTACTTTTCCCTTGACAACTAGAGAGAGCATCTAGAAAACCCGCTTAAAGCAAATGGATGCTTTTCAGATGAAAGCAAGGTCAGATATTACAAGCAACGCAAAGAGATATTGCATTTTATTCTAGTTTCATGGTGTATATCTGAAGTTTCTGTTATTTTGCTCAACCCATTTCCAGAAAAATCCATAAAGAGACACACATGCTATTATTATGCAATGTGACTCACATTTCCTGAAGCATGGGAAATGAATGCTTTGTTTAAGATGCCAGTTCTACTCTACTTGCTGTAAGCTAATGTGCTGATTCACCTACCTGCAACACGCCTCAAGTCACTTTTGCTATTGAGCAGGCTGATGTGAAATACTGAAAATGATGGCCCAGAAACCATGGATCCCTTCTGTATGGGAAGTGCTTCTCAGGGCCATGGTAAAAACCCATGAGATACCAAACTGCTGAGGAGCAAGGCAGCTGGGATGCCATTCTTGGAGATGAGTGCTTATTCATTCTAAGTGAGAAAGGCAAAATGTGATCTCCATGCTATTTGCCAGGACTATTAACACAAGCCAAATGGCTCTGCTTTTGGAAAAACAGCAACTGTGCCCATCACTGTGGCCTTAAGCAGCCCAAAGTCTCTGAACCAAGCTGGGGAAAGTAGCAAAGGCAGCTGAGACACAAAGACTTGAGACAGTTCTAACAGGAAATGAGACATATTTTGAATTCACAGTTTGAGGAAAGGTGTGTATAACTTCCACACTGGTCAGGCTTCTGCTAAGGGGAGGGCTCTTTCAAAAATGCTCATGGAAAATGTATGTTATAAGAAAGACCATGTGTGTAGTTTAGCCTGGCAACAAAATTAAGGCATTTTTAACTCCACTGTTTTTGTAAGCTTTTTGAAGTATCCTTGTGTTTTCACCCCAGATGTTAGAATTTGGCTATCCCTTATATGTCTGAAAGCACATGGGAGAGAAAAGAACATTTTGAGGCTGCTTCCCAAAATATGCATTGGTACTGCTGTAATTCACAGACTTCACTTCACCCCAGGCTGATCCTCAAAGACACCACTGATGATCTCTCCAACACTCAGCACATGGCTAGGACAGCATCCCTCAGCTAGCGCAGTGGGATTTTTCACCATCGCCCATGATTATCTACCTCCTGTGAAAAACAACTCCCTGCATCAAATGATAAGGATGCTGGACATTTCTCCAACAAGAATAGGTAGATGATACACGTGAAGGTTGTTGGGAGCAAGTGAGGATGTTCTGACATAGATTTTCCTGTTAACTTTCTGGCGCCAACTCTCCTAAAATCCCTTGGTTTGCTACCAATGCAAAGTGTAGCGATTTCCCTCATTAAAGTGCAGGTCCTAAGCTCTGCAGTGGATCTGCTTCATTACACACACTAGCTGGAACACCATGGCTTCTGGGTGGTGGCAGCACTGGTGCCAAACTACTCCATGGTGTCACCAGAGATTTCTGAACTGAGCTTCAGGTTTCCTTCCTCCCTGCCTTCCAGTTTATTCATTTGTCCACCAAATGTTTGTGGAACAGTTCTGTGTTCCAGGTACTTGATATATATGAATGAGGGGAAAAAACATGTTAAGATGATGAAGAGCAGGTAAATCACAAAGTCATTACACATTTGGATAAATGCCACAAAGGACCTTAATAATGCACAATGATGGTGAATCTACCAGAAGAGTGACCCAGAGACACTTGTCTGAATGGCTGGTCTTACAGCCATGATTGAGAGTGTCAGAAAGATTCATCCTCACAAAGTGTCAAGGCAAGAGCAGCATCCCAGGAAGAGAGACAAGAAGGTGTGAAGGCTGAGACCAGAGGGAAGGGACCCCAGGAGAGGAAACCAAGGACATTCACAGGGAAACTGATGCTGAGCGTGGGGAAGCTGCTTGAGTGATGGAAAAGACACAATCTGATTTCTATCAGATGATGTGCGATTGAGTGAGTCAAGTAAAAGCAGAAAAGACAGGGTTTCTGCACATGGCAGAAACCACAAAATGTTCCCTGTAAGATACAGTTTGGCAGTTTCCTGTGATTCCTAAGTGGTGCCACACCTGACCCACCAGGCCGTGACAGTAGTTCAGACCAGTGGGTCTCGAGTGGGAGCTGTTAAAAATTAAGATAAGTGGGCCAAACAGGAATGGATTTTTGAAGATAGAAAACAAAGAGTTTCTTAATGATAGATATAGAGTTTGGTGGTATGAACTGTTAGGTGTTATTCCTAAGATTTTGGCTGGAGAGGCTGACAATGGGGCACAGAGGGTTAAAGCCATGTGGCATATGACACCAGGATCCCATACCAGAGTGCCAGTTGAAGTCCCAGCTATTCTGCTTTGCCTTTGCACCAACATCCTGCTAATGCACCTGGGAAGTCAATGGAATATGGCCCAAGAGCTTGAGGCCCTGCCGTCCACTGTGGGAGACCAGGATGTGATTTCTGTTGCTGCTTCCAGTCTGGCCCAGCCTGGCCTGGCCAATGGGCACCATTTGGGAAGAGGAACAGCTGATGTAAGATCATTCACACTCCTTTATCTGTTGCTCTACCTTTCAAATAAAACTTAAAAAACGAAAAAGAATTTGGCCTAAGAATGTATTTAGATGGGAAGAGGAAACCAGAAAAGGAACACGTTTGAAGACTAAAAGCAAGAACCCTCTGTTGGGTATTTTCAAGTTGAGGTGTTGAAAGGGTAGTTGCTAAGGTACTCTGCAGTCCTGGTGTTTCCTGGTGTTTCCTGTGGTTTCCAAGGGGCACCACTGAGCCCACTGCAACTCTCCCTCGTTCCTTCTCTGGGCCGAGCAAGCCAGCCTGCTGCAGCCTGCACCCTTCTACTTTCTGCTTCAGGGCTCAGGGGCCTGTGGTCTTCGGAACTACCTGAGACTGGAAGCTCAGTCCCACAGCTCAGCAGTAGGAAGTTCATTATCATGGCATGTCCGAGCCTCACTTTCCAATTTGATTTTATCAGTAAGCAAAAGCTGGTATATGAATCCTGAAGAATTACACTTGAATTTTTTTTTCTCTTTTGTCTGTCTCAGGTGTTTCAAACTTGGGCTGACTCATGACTGCATAAAGAGCTTTGTTTTCCTTCCTGCTGTATCACAGGAGACGCCTTTTTCAGAGGTGCCTCTTCCAACAGCTGTTGCTAAAGCAAATGAAGATTTCTCCTAGTTTCAACCAGGTCTGATCTCCTACCCTTAAAGGCTTAGTCTTCTCTGCCAGGTAGGTTTGCAAACTGTGTGGAATGAGAACTTACTCAAAGCTGGAGCTAGTGAGTGACAGGCAAACTTAATCATTCTACCGTCCCAGGATATGTGTTCCTGCCGTACCTTGGTGTGACCTGCATCATTTGAACTGTCTTGCCGTCACTTTTCTTTCTTGCCAGTTTACCCTTCCTTGCCCTCTGCCCATTTGCTAATCTAGTCAGGGGTTCCCTCCTTCAGAAGCTAGTGTCAGTCTCCTTTATTCTCTCTCCAATCACCTGAATGTTGGAACTGTTGGGCCTGCTCGGTTGGACACTGGGCCCTTTCACAGGTCTGGCTCAGCTGGGGCAGGTGTGGCTGATGACAGCCCAAGTGGCACTTGTCTTTTGCCTATTCCTTTTCTCTGTAGCCAGAAGAGTCTTGCAGTGGGTTTCTGGTCCCTTCTCAGGGGTGATGGCTGGGAACCTGTGATGTCACTGTGCTGCAGGAAAGACGGACTCTAGGGAATTCAAACGCCTGTCTCTTGCTCCATCCTCCATCAACACATTATCCTGCAGGTTTTCGCTGATGAAAGAGGTGACAGGCGTTTGGCACATCTTATCCCTGTAAATAACACTTATCCGTAGAATGAATATGGAAATTACATATGTCGCTATCGTGCATGGGCCCCTGCACCTGGTATGTAATGGAGCCCGGCATTGTTACAGTGCCAGTCAGTGGCTTTTACCAGCAAGGGAACATCGGCAGCTGTGACATTAACCATGCAGACAGAGTGTCCACAAAATACATAGACACCCCTTTTTTTTGTTTCCTCAGTAAAGCCCTGGGTAATTACCCTGACTATTGTTCAAGGAGAAAGCTCCGTTTTCACCAGTTTGGGATCTGGACATGAAAAATCACCAGCATTAAGTACTTAAGGCAATTTGCTCTCCCAGTGAAGAAAGTACAAAAAAAAATTCTCTCTCCCTGAGTCTGAGTTGCCCGAGTGGGAAGCCACCGCTCACCTCTGACAGAGGATCCCGAGGAGGAAGTTTTTCTGACGGTACCTTCTTCCCAGAGAGAGCCCCAGGACACTGTGGTCAGGGCCTGCTTGCCACCGCCAGCACTGGGAGCACATGTGGGGGTATGTGTGTGTGTGTGTGCGCACCTGGCCTGCAAGCACAGGTGCACCTGGCTGCCCCGTCCTGAGGGCCAGGCACAGTGCCCTGAGGAAAAGCTACAGAAACTTTGCTCACCTTGAGAAGTAAGCTCTCGGGGAAGGGTCCGTAGTCCTCCAAGTTGCCACAGAACATGAAATAGGTTATGAGGTTGGCATTCGATATGAGGTAAAATGGGAGATTATTGAACTACTTACCCCCAAATGATAACAACCAAAAAAAAATGAGATAAAATGAATATTTAAAAAAGAGAGAGAAGGGGGAAAAAATCAAAAGAGATGGCTCCCAAAACTTTACTTACATTGAGTGAGGATTCCAGTTAAGGCATTTTTGAAATTCTCCTTGGCTTCCTCCATCTCTTGCTCGTGGGTGGCCTTCTCGTTCATGAGCCGCCGGACGTGGCTGTTGGCCGACTGCACCATGGAATAGAACTGGTTCGCAGAGCGCCGGTTGACCTCCCCGCGTTCAATCCAAGAAAGCAGCACAGTGATAGCCTCAGAGAACTTGCTATCATCTGGAAACGGAAAAACCGCCCAATATGGATCAGACCACTTTATTTTGGTTCCAAAAGTTGAGCTCTGCTGAGGGCTGCATCTGCTGAGCTCCACCAGTTTCCCAGAGCCTTCCCGGAGAATTCTGGTTAACTCCATGGCACCAGATGGCGTACCCTCTAACCTGCAAACTTGAGCAGGCCAACGTTAGGATACTTGGTGTGGGGATTCTTACTCTAGAAGATACATCCTCATTCTTCCATCAAACCTTAATTTCTCTTTAAGATGAACTCTAAGAATTCTTACTATCCTATTTGATCTCCACTCATTTCCTTATTCTTCTTTCAGAAACATTATACAGTGATACCTGTTTTCTGATTTGCAAAGTCAGCTAAGTGTCAACCTTTAATCGGGACGACAGAATAAATTGCTTTAAAAACCAGTTCCTGAGACAGGCTAGGAATATGTAAATTCTTGTTCAACTGTAGTTCAAGGCTGATTTCACTTTAAGGCTAATATGCACACTTAATTATGTTGGAAAATAAAATAGTGCTTTGTCTGTCACAACAGGATCTTTTCACTAAAGTGGCCAGTCTTTCACTGGATGGCTGCTGGAAAGCTCAACTGAGGCTGCTTTGGGCTGTGTTTAGGGAGGGGTGACATAGGAAGGCGGGCACGCGGTTCACCTGCAAATAAAGTTTATTGAACACACAGTGACTTGCCTGCTGGGGGGACGCATACTAGGAAGAAACCTGTGCTGTGAAGATTGGAGGTGAAGAAAAAGCAAGGCTGAGGGTGACAAAGTGAATTAGGGCTAGAAGCTATATGCCAGCCATTACAACACCAATCGATTCTTCTGCTGAAGGTTCACTTCATGGTTTCCAGGCAAATTTGAGGGGAGAAGCCTTTGCTTTTGTGTTCTACCCCTGCAAACCTGTGACTTAGGAATAATGAGTTACATTTTTTTTCCTCCAAGTAAATCAGAGAGACTCCCAACTCTTACCAATCAGCAGCAAAATGAGGAGGGCGCAGATTGTTACCCACTGGACAAATAATGAGCACCAGCTGTGTGCAAAGCACTATGGCCGCCCATGGTCTGGTAGACATCCTCACACTCTGTCTACACTTCTGGAAATAGGTACGTGCTCCAGAAGAACAGGCCACCTCATGTGGGATGAGAGCATTTCATTTTACTCATCGGATTTTAAAAATCAAAAATAGGATTGCCTTTTGTATTCCATTTGTGGCACATTTTTAAAACATCTCAGGGTGCTGCCCAAGTACCTTGAGGACTTCTTAGAGTCTGCCAGAGACGTCCTCCTGGACTAAGGCGCAATCTCTATAGTGTGGCTGCTATTTTGCCAAGGAGGCAGGAGCACTGAGGGAAAGCAGGACCCAGCCTAACTCCAGGTCCTGTTGAGCATGCTGGCATGCCGGGCTCTTTCCTGGCTGAAGCAGCTGCCCACTGGACATGAACCTCAAAGCTGCTTTTCTTTTCGTAGCCATGCTGCCCCTTCAGCCCCCACACTTTAGCCACAGTAGGAAACTGGCCTGGAAACGCCCACACTCTCTCTTGTCAGTGGAAGCCCTGAGTCTCCCTGAATGTCTCTGTCCATGGGCACACACTTGCTTGGGGGTTTGTGGCTCGCTTGTGTCATTTGCTGATCCCCTGGGATTTCAGCCCAAGTTCAACTGAACCTCCATGAACTCTAGCTGCAGCGGGCAGCCTCTTGTCTCATTCCAAGGACCGAAATGGCTTTAGTGAGACAAGTCCTCCTGCAGCCCCTGGGACAGACTGTAACTTTGCACTATATCTGTGAGGCTGGCCACAACCATTGTAAGTGGAATAAACCCTGCCTCCCTCTGCACTCTATGCTCCTCTCTCTGCCAATACGACCTTGGCACAGAGGGCAAAAACAAACCAAATGCTTCCAAGACATCGTCCTCCCTTTTTCTTAAAAAATACCACCACCAAAACAGAGAGGACAGACTTTGTGTTGGGAGTTTTCCTTTTATTGTGTCCCTTGGCTCCTTGGCAAGGAGAAAGCATGACACTCTCATTTGTATGGGGCTCTGAGAACAGAGCTGTGCTGATCCTCTTCCTTTTCTTCTCTACTCACTCCCCCTTCTCTTGTGCCTGCTTTCATTCAGTTTCATAAATAAATAAATCTAGAACCCAGCATGGTAGTCTCGCAGTTAAAGTCCTCGCCTTGAAAACGCTGGGATCCCATATGGGCACCAATTCTAATCCTGGCGGCTCTGCTTCCCATCCAGCTCCCTGCTTATGGCCTGGGAAAGCAGTTGAGGACAGCGCAAGGGCCTTGGGACCCTGCACCCACTTGGGAGACCCAGAAGCTGCTCCTGCTTCCTAGCTTTGGATTGGCTCAGCTCTGGCCATTGAGGCCACTTAGGGAGTGAATCATCGGATGGAAGATCTTCCTCTCTGTCTCTCCTTTCTGTATATCTGCCTTTTATTGAGCCGATCTGAAGCCAGGAACCTCTTCCGGGTCTCCCACGCGGGTGCAGGGTCCCAAAGCTTTGGGCCGTCCTCGACTGCTTTCCTGGGCCACAGGCAGGGAGCTGGAAGGGAAGCGGGGCTGCTGGGATTAGAACCGGTGCCCATATGGGATCCTGGGCGTGCAAGGCAAGGACCTTAACCACTGCGCCATTGCGCTGGGCCCCCCAAAAAATAAATCTTTAAAAAATTTATTGTCAGAAAGATGGTACCTGAATTTACAAAATAAAAAGTGTGTAAAGTGTGTTCACGGGGCCTGAGAGTCACATTTTATTCCTTTATTCCTCACCACTGACTGACCTAGAGGACCAGCTGGCTAGTAAGCAGCAGCTTAATAATAATTTACAGCTTTTAGAGAGGGGGATCAACATCCTTAGGATTAAGCAGTTGAAAATTGTACAATGTGGCCAGCACTGAGGCACAATGATGCTTAAACTGCCTGCAACGTTGTTGGTCATGTTGTAAAGGTACTGGTTTGCATCCTGCTGCTCCACTTCTGATCGGTTCTCCTGCTAATATGCATAGGAAAGGCAGAAGATGACCCAAGCGCTGGGCCCCTGCCATCTACATGGGAGACCCAGAAGTACTGGAGTCCTGGCTTTGGCCAGCCTAGAAATCTGGGAATTAAAGCAGCAGATGTAAGTATTCTTTTTCTGTTACTACTTCTCTCTGTATAACTGATTTTCCAATCTACAAATGAATCCCCAAAAGGGAGAAAATGTACTATTTTTAAGAGGCAAATAGCCTGGAGTTTCCAATATCTTCTCAGGTTAATAACAGAATCCCATTAGCTGAAAGGAAGCATATACTTGTGCAAACTTCAAATTCCATCTTCATTTCTGAACTGTCTGAAACTGACAGGCCAGTGTGTGATTGATGTACTGACATTCAAATTAAATTTCAGAAACATTAGTTAAGGCATGCTTGGTAACTCCAGTCAATATTTGTTGCCATGTAAGAAGTCACTTTAATTTATTTTAATTAAGCCTAAGCCACTAGCTCCCTCTGTGTGGTGGTAGGAGCATATGGGGAGAGGTCATTTTTGGTATTCAACTATAAATTCAATTTTGTATCCGGTGGAAAGATCACTGGGAAAGTAGAAAACAATATAAACTAATTTAAACAGGATTTAAATTGCAGCATTATTAAAGCTATTCATGTGGAAAGAAATTAACACTGCTCATAAAAATCACATTAAAGAAGCGCTTACAAAAATTCCAAACACTTCCGGTGAACAGGCTCAGGTGTATCTCCAAACAGGAGTGCTGTCTAGGAACTGGCACATGCAGGAAGAAGTGGGCAGCCCAAGATGGAATGGTGTAAACAGGAGCCACTCAGGAGAGATGGCCCTGTGTTTTCTAATAAGGGCCTCTCAACATCTCACCTGGCTTACCACCAACCTTTGCTTAGCAGCCCTCCTCTCCGGCTGACATTTTGATTGACAGTTTTTTTTCTCCTCACATGCTTCCTCATTCCTGTGCCAACCCGTATGGTATGGTATCCGTTCAACACAATGGGCATGCACACCTTGCATTCACCCTAGGGTCATGCCCTCTCGGTCCTGTAGCCCTGGCCACCTGCCAGGCTCTGCTTGGATTCAGCTGAAGTGCTCCTTCATCGAGGAACCCTTCTGCACCCTGGTTGAACCAGGTGTCAGCATTCCGAGGGACTAATAAAACTTCCAAGATTTAACCTCAACCTTCTGAGTTTTTTCCTTTATATTGTTTACATTTTATTACACTCTACTTCTGATAGATTTGCAGCGATTGGTACCAGGATACTATAAATTTAATGGTTAAATGTTGGTAAGCAGCACAGTTGTTAATAAGCATTTTAATTTCATGTTTAAGCGTATTTTCCCAGTGGCCATTGTCTGTTGGAGAACTAAATGCCCCCACAGCATTTAAGCTGACTAGGTTTCACCTTTCAGGTCCTGGTGGTCATTACCACCAGCGAATCAAGTTGACAGCGCTGTCAGCTAATCCCATAGGAGCAAATGCCTTCTGGAGTAAGGCACCAATCAGCTTATCAAAGTAATTCAAAAGTATTTTTGAAAGCACTTTCCATTCTGGGAAAGTGGTGGGCACTACTTAGCTTTGTGATGAATGGATAGTATTGTAAGGGTTTATTACCTCTCAGTCTCTCCCATTTTATTTCATTCCCGGGCTCTGAGACTTGACAACTTACTTTTCCCTCTTCTGTGTTTAGTGAGCACCTGGCTGGCATATACTTAGCATTCAAACACCAAAGGTAGGAAAATCTTTGCTATTCAAAGACCACATGTGTGAGCATCATTTGGGAGCTTGTGAAAAAGGCAGATGCGACCCTCTCTGAGAGCTCCTGGTTGGGAATCTGCATTTTACTCCAGATGACTCATGCACAATGAAGACAAACACTAGAAGAAATGAATCAGTGATGGCCAAGTATTCTGGCTGACGGAAAATCCAGGTTGAAAGATAATGAAAACCTCAAATGTCAAAGAGTAACCAAGCTGATGGAGAGCATCAG